AACAAACGATCGTAAGAATTGAGCTTTGAGAAGAATGAATCAGAAATGTGTTTGTGTGGGAACATTTAAACCACCAGTTCTCTAACACGCCACAGACGATGGTGGAAAATTAGCCTTATCATAGCATCAATCAGTCTTGTGGCTGTGTGGGAACAGCACCATTTAAATCAATAATTTTCCTCAGGAGCGCCACAGACGAGCGTGAGATAGAGCCTTATAGAAGTGTTCATTAATTGTGTCGCTGTGCGAAAAAACTCCATTTTAATCAATAATTTCCCTAAGGCACTACAAACGTCCTTGGGAAAGAGCCTTAGAGAAGTGTTCATTAATTGTGAGGCTGTGGGAAAACAGCTCCATTTAAATCAATAATTTCCCTAAGGCGCCATAAACGACCTTGGGAAAGAGCCTTATCGAAGTGTTAATTAATTGTGAGGCTGTGCAGAAACAGCTCTGTTTAAATCAGTGGTTCGTTAAACGGACAATATACACTTGAGAAGCGCGCACTAAGAACCGATGTGCCCTGGGTTTGTTTACCTGTACACCTATGGCCCACCTATGGCCGAGTCCCTCAGAAGCTGTTCACCTACGCACATAGATAAGGCTGTGGTCTACTGCAGTGTTTCATGAATCATGTACGCTCTGAAGACGGCGGGGAACTTGCACCGTTTGTGCTTAACATCTGTGACGCTGCTACCGCGACGGTCGCTCCACTCGGTTTATGTTTTAGTGCACATCACTATTCTCCGCCTGTCTCGACCCTTGGTACATCCAAAATTAATTCTCAGACAATGGATCCATTAGAAGTTTGGTAAGGTCTTCTGCCTACACAGGACAGTGCAACATGCAGATAGACCGAACGTCGAGGTTAGTGCAGGGTTGGACAGACTTTTCCATGACAAATGGTACTTCGAGAGTGTTTATACCTTCGTCATCCACTTAGTTATTTGTTTTTGTTCATAGCATTGGGTGAGACTGAGTCCACTTGGTACACCAGACTCTAGTCGGCGTATTGCACAAGCCCTGGATGATAGTTGAGCATGGGACAGTTGGCGGAATAAGAATTGGCAGGGGAAATTGAAGTAATGCCGGTCACGGTAGCCGAGCGGTCTAAGGCATATACTGTCTTCGGTCGCTTGGAAACCGGGATGGTGGGTTCGAATCCCACTCAGGGCATAGATGTTTATTTTGTGTGTGTGCGATTTTCTGTATTTGTGTACAGGTAGAGGCCTTGCGACGAGCTGATCACCCGCCCAAGGAGTCCTACCGAATGTGTAAGATCTAGAAAAATCGAAGTGAACGGAGAAGTTCATGGAGGTAGGCCTAGGCCCACTGGGGCTGTAGTGCCAAGGAAAAAATGAAGTAATCGGAGAAAACATGACCCAGTGTCATTTTGTTGACAAATCTCAAATAGCCTGACTTGGGATCGAACCCGTGCAGCCGTGGTGGGAAGGTAGAATTTAACCGCCTGAGGTGAAGAAATGGTAAAGCTGTCCTTGTAAGAGGTCGTGAAGGCCCATAGGTTTCTGGGACTTCGAGGCTCCCACATCTTCTAACGAGTCGGCTCATAGATGGAGGTAAGGTTGTCAGTCTTACACGCCGGCCGCCCTTTAGCCCCCCCCCCCCTGGAAGATTCCTGGTACATATTTGTATTAGAGGCGGAGTCGGCCCCAGGGCCACAGTGCGGCTGGAATGTTTAGGGCAATTAAAAAATTAAGTGACCTCGTCGGGATTCGAAACTGCGACCTTCCGGCTTGTAGCATAATGGGCCTGAGGCATGGCATGGAAAGTTACTTAATTTAATATATTGTCACGTGTATGTGTGTGACTATAGACGGCGTTTGGATTGGTGAATCGATTTATTGGTTACTTATAGCACACGACTTGGAACTACAAGCATTTACAGCGCCACCGCTAATCTGCACAATTCACCAATCTCAACAGCACCCACTAAGACTTTTCCAGTCTGCTGTGTTATCACAAGCAGTTCTCTAGCAACGGCTTCTAACAGTGGACATTCTTCAGCTTCCCGTTCTCATGTCATTCCTTCAGCGACTCCAGTACAAACTGCTTACCAGCCATCCCTCAACTAACTAGATCCCCCCCCCAATTTTCATCCTTATAACCACTCTGCACGGACCGAACAGAAAACATAGTGTCTAACAGTCCCTCTACTGTTTCCATGGGCGATTGTCCATGGACGATAGCCCGCAAAAATGTTGAGGGGTTTATTCATTTCCTCGGGAACCTGTTTACCGAGCAGATGCCTAGTAGTAACTCGGGTATTGTTAACGTGTTTGTCGAGCCGTTGCTGGGAAGCGGTCTTCGTATATTCGACTATTGCAGGCATGTCCAACTTCAAACAGGTTGTGATCGACTTTTTAGTGTCAAAACTGCCAGTGATCTACCACCCCCTCCTATCGCCGTACCTCGCTTTAAGCAAAAATATTGGTAAAAATAACACGACACATGATGTTTTTTGTAAAAGCAACCGAAAGTACGGACTACTTCAATACGTACTTCCCCTTCAAAATCTGAATATAATCATATTATTTTACAAGTGAATTTACATGCTTTTCACGTATAATTTCCTTATAGGCCTATGAAATCGACCAAAAATCGTCCCGCGATCGACGCGTTGGATATGCCTGGACTGTTGCATAGCGACGGCTGTACATACTATAATGTGTATTCTTTGAACGGGATAAGAACCTATAAATATACAAATTTGATAGGTGAAATGTAACTTGATATTCAATTACAAGTCTTTTCATTTTAGAATTTACATCAAGTTATACAAGCAAACAAGCTGAAAGTCACAGANTACACAGAATTGTTGGGGTTTTGGACTTTTCCCATCGTCCGGAATTGTAGGTAATAGAGGACACGACGTTTCAGCTTGTATATTCTAAAGGATTCTGACGATGGTGGATGACACACAGAATTACCTAAAATTCTGGACGATAGAAAAAGTCCAAAACCCCAGTAATTCTGTGTGTCATCCACCATCGTCAGAATCCTTTAGAATCTACAAGCTGAAACGTCGTGTCCTCTATTACCTACAATTCCGGACGATGGGAAAAGTCCAAAACCCCAACAATTCTGTGTATCATCGACCATTGTCAGAACCTTTTAGAATCTACAAGCCGAAAGTCGTGTTCATTCTTTCCCTGACTCTAGTGCTGTTAGAAATTTCAACTAAGCAAGAACTATTTTTACCTCTCACTTGTCGCATCAGATGCCTTTCCCATGTTCATGTCAGCTTCACAGACATTGTGAACGTTTAGGCAGGTACATTTAGGAGGGGCTTCAGGTAAAGAATAGACTGCGGTCCGTTCTGGAAGTCTTTCACTGGGACCTGTTTCACGAGTAGCTATTAGATTTTACATTTGCCATTTCAGCTCCTTTGTCAGAGATAAACATCTCCACATTGACCCAGTCTCAAATAGCCTTAAGTTCCTTGCAGAAAACCGTTTCTGCTATGTACTTTCTCTAAATGAGTCGGAGCCGGGGTAGCTCAGGAGGTAGAGTGAAGGGCTACGGATGACTGGGGTTTGATTCCAGGCATAGAGAGGAGATTTTTCTCTTCTCCACAGAGTTCAGACCGACTCTGGGGCCCATCCAGGCTTTATACAATGAGAACTGGAGGCTCTTCCACCGGAGGTAAAGCGGCCGGAACGTGAAGCTGACCACTCAACTCCAAATAGTGCCTGCGTCAAGAAAGGTGGAGCTATACCTTAACTACCCCACACATCTTCACCGCGTAAGGCTTAATTAATTAGGCACAATGACTACATTAACATTCCGAATTAAGCTTACCTGATTTGTGGATTGACCGCCCCTGTGGGCAGAGTTCCTGGCTACAGATGTGAACATATAATTTATTTTCTTGGGAGTTCAGAAGTCGAAAAGAGACGATATAACTCTGTTTATTTAACCCCCCCCCCCCAGCCCCGTTATTTCTTTACGGGTCGCCTGTGTGTACGACGTTTTCTTGTCTTCATTCAACTCAGAATTTTACCTTCTAAATATATTTGTTTGTTTAGTGTTTGAAAATAAAAAGTTGTTCCTGGGCTTAATTAATTGAGCATGACACCATGAAGTCTAGGTGTCACAGTTCCTGGCTGCAGATCCAGAGGTATCGGATTCGATTCCCGGGGCTACCAGATTTTCTGACAAGTAGTGGGTCTCTAACGGAGTCCAATCAGCCTCGTGAGGATAACTGAGGTGCTATTTCAAGGAAATAGCTGCTTCGGTCTAAAAACCCAAGATTAACGGCCTTGGGGTTCCGTTGCGCTGACCACACGACATTTTATATCCGCAAAAGTTGGCACTAACTTCGCCGACAAGCGGCGGTCGCTCGGTCGGTATAGTTCGCTTGCGGACTACAGGCCACGGAGTTTGTTTTTGTATCGTTTTCACGCCATGAAGACGTATGGGGGAGTTGAGGTATGGCTCTACCATCCTTGAGCTCGGCACTAGACGGAAGTAAACAACGAGCTCCGCAACCCAAGCTGCTTCATCTCAGGGAAAGTAGCCCCCTGTACCCACTGGCTAAAAGGCTGGGTGTACCCCAGAGCCGATCTGTACGCTCTTAAGAAGACAAAGAATGCCTTGCTCCTGCCAGGAATCGAATCCTGGCCGTCTTAGTCCATTACTATACCGACTGAGCTATCCCGTCTCACTAAACTTGATTATAGGAATATTTGACGTAACACAGGAAGAGTGTTCTGTCGCAGGAATAGATGAATAAAATATGTTATTATTATTTAAAAGCTTCAGCATTGAAAGAGTTAATGGCTTTGTCACTTCGAGATTATCGTAGTCCGTTCCTTTTAATTGTCGGGGATTTTTTGTTTAAGGGAATGGGGTTGTAGAATAAACACGCTGAGATAGGGAGAGGGGCGGTCGCCCGCGGGCTTGTCTCCCCTCCTGCCAGCGTACTCCAACTCGCTCTTGGCCCCTACCGCCACCCGCGTGTAGTCCGCTCTTGGCATCGCCGGAGTGAGGTTAGGATATTGTGGAGGGAACTGTGTGAAGTGACATTCGGAACTTTCCTCATCCTGTGGATTACTAATATAAATAAAAACTATAGTGATGTGTGTATTTCGGTGAGAAATTGTTTGTGACACAAACGTGTACCATATTCGTAGCTGTAAATAAAACTAAGGAGTTAGAAATCGTTTATGAAGTAGGCATACACAATATACGTAACTTTTATTACGTTTTCATATAGTTTTCTTATAATTTGTTCGGGGTGGTGGTGGTGTGGTGACGTCAACGATGACGTCCTTGTCATCGTGTTGGACTTTAAGTTTCTTATCATTAGTTTCAGTGATTAAAATTCTGTGTATATTAGGACTGGTGACTGTTGGATCTACAAGAAATGCAGGTATGTCTTAAACAACAAAATATTTTGTTTTAGCAAATAATGTGTTTTGCATTACAAATTCTTGCCCGTTTAGACTTCATTCAAGCTTTGTAACGACTCATGAACAAGAATTACCAAGTTCCTTGGCTGCAAGGTGTAGCGTCTGCGTGGCTTTAGAAAGCCCTTCGCGGTATAACGGGGACAAGTCTGGTATTTCTCTGATGCGGTGGCAGGCAGGTACTGTTGTTCCATTCATTGGAATTTGCACATTTTCAACCAGATTTCAGCAGCTGCAAACATCTGTTTACGTGGCATGATTATCTTATTTTTATCAGTTAATTATTCTTAACAAGATTTGTTAATTGTTGTGACGAAACGCGGAAGGTACACTACTTACCTTCACTTGTTGCAGAATTATTATTCGTTTGATTATTTAGTTTTATTTTGTTACCTTGGAAATCATCGTTTCGTTATGGCGGGAGAAACAATCGAACATAACCTTTATTTTTTTGAACAAAGAGTGTATATGGAGTTTATGAAAGAGGTCATTGGCATTAAATCCACGCATCGAAACATATTAATTTACCAAGTGTCTTAAGCGTCTGTGACACATTTATTAGAAATGGATTCAATTATGGTTTATAATACGTAACTACTTTATATGGTTCACCATTTGACGATATTTTTGCAATATTTTACGTAGATAAAAGTAATTGATTAGAGGTCCACGTTTACTCCAGTTGACTGGACAATAAAAAATTATGTATTTCTTTTGGCACAGCGTTGTGTCAGGTGATTTTAATCAAGATAGATGGAAATACTGTGTATTTGGCGATAGAGCCATTTGGTTTGGTTTCGTTGCTGTTGATGCTGGATTCTGTGACGTGGACAGACCGGAAAATTTGGTCGCTACGGACTGCAGAGTGCGTTGGTAGGTGGAAGAGTCTGAGAGAGGGGTAGTAAACGAGAGAGGGGAGGTATAATGTCAAAGCAGAGGGATTTCTTTTATGAGTAGAATGCGGCGATAAATCATCTCAAAATTTTGGCAAGTGATAGTTCTTAATAAATGTGTTTTTGGAGGTTAGTGCATGTTTTAGGTGTTCGAAGCGTTATTTTCCTCTCGATTACGTGTTCTTCATTTAATAATTTTGACCCCAAAACCACAGTGGTTGCTGTGTGTACCACCTGATTTTAACATTAAATAAACTGTGAATTTTACCCACGGAGTGTAGTGATGTGTTTCACACTGTTATAAAAATAAACAATAATTTCCTTATAACCGCATCAATCAATTTGATTTTGCAACCGAGTCGCAATATGTTTCCTGTGAGGTACGGTTTGAATCCCTAAATATTATTTAGTTGGATTTCAAGCTTTAAACGGCGAATTTATTGTAGACCACATGCATTAACGTAGTCTTAAAGAACAAGAGTGGCCTACGTCATTTTTGCAAAGTCCCTTCTGCGATTTTGAATACGTAATCAGCCACGATGTTCATATATTGGTGATACAGATCTCTTACTGAATGCGCTACTCGAGAGGTCTTCTCCAATACTTGCTGAAGGCAACATGACGTTTATAAAGAGCTGCTAAAACAGCAAATAATAACACCGTGGTAGGCAACAAGTTTCCGAAATTATCACTGCAGACTAAGGTGTGAGATAAAAAGGTAAAGCTATCCCTGTAACAGGCCGTGAAGGCCCATAGGGTTGTGAGACGTCGAGGCTCCCACATTTTCTATAGACAATCGGCTCACATGTCGCATGATATCATGCAATGTCGTAAGAGGTGAGGAATTAAGCCGCCATTTTATGACTTACTTACTTACTTGCTTATGGAGCTGAGCCCTTCTTGAGGATCTGCCAATTCTGCAGCTACTCAAGAATTTCCCAGCATTTTATGCAACCCGAAGGTTCATTACCGTGTTCACAAGAGCCCTCCACCGTTCCCTATCCTGAGCCAGATCAATCCAATACACACCATCCCATCCCATCTCTCTAAGATCCATTTTAAGAATGGCTGCGAAGTAAATACCTGCCTTATTGCCATGTACGAGGTAAATGCCGAAGATCATTTCCCGAGAGCTACGAGCAAATTCAATGCACTCTAAAAAAAACACTCCAGTGGCCAGAGATAAAGCGACCAGAGCGTTAAGCTCAACACTTACTTCCACCATACGCGGGAGAGTTACTTTCACGTTCTCACAAGTTTCCATGGCGTGTTGTTTAAACACATGGATAATTTTACATTTTTAAGCTACGGACTGGGCAATCCGGGTTCGATTCCAAGGCAGGAACAGGTACTCTTCTGTTTATGGCCTTATATATATCGGCTCTGGTACCCACCTAGCCACTTATAAGCAAAACAATGAAACTCCGTGGCTTTAGTCTGCAAGCGAATTTTACCGACCGAGCGACCGCCGCTTGTCGGCGAAGTTAGTGCCAACTTTTGCGGGTATAGAATGTGTGGTCAGCGCAACGGAACCCCACGGCCGTTAATCTCGGGTTTCTAGACCGGAGCCGCCATTTCCTTGAAATAGCACCTCAGTTATCCTCACGAGGCTGAGTGGACCCCGTTAGAGACCCACTACTTCTCAGAAAATCTGGTAGCGCCGGGAATCGAACCCGGGACCTCTGAATCTGAAGCCAGAAACTGCGCACTAGACCACAGAGGCGGTCATCTAGCCTTTTATACAATACGTAAAGTGGGGTAAAGAGGCAGGAGCGTGAAACATTCAGATTGTCGGAACATTACTACTCGGACTATTGTAACTCGTTAAAATGTGTATTAACGGATGTGTGACAGACCGTTATTGTTTAGAACAGCGTTATAACGAACGGCTCTAATTGGAAACATTTGATAAAGGAGGAGTGAGAAAAAAAAAGAGAGTATGAAGCACGGCGAGCGAATTTCAATAACTGAGCCGGGACTGTACTTCAAAAGTTGAAGTACAGTAATTAAATGAGCCCTTTGAATACTCACTGTGACGTAAGCATCAGTGACTTTAATTATTAAGCACTTTTCGAACGTACCAGCCAATTTTTGCCGCAAAAAGGTGAGGCGGTGGGAGATGGCGCACCCGGGAGGTACAGATGCATAATCAAATTTGCCACTAATATAGAAGAGTATTAACTTTTTCTTTTTTCCTCGGTGTAAGACCAGAGTGGAGAGGTCAACTGATCATTCCCCGATGTTGCATTTTGAACCGATCACTCATGGAGCTGAGCCCTTCTTGAGAAGCCACCAGTTGTGCAGCTACTCAAGAGTTTCCCAGCATTTTATGGAACGCGAAGGTTCATTACCGTGTTCACAGGAGACCTCAACTTGTCCCTATCCTGAGCCAGATCTATCCAATCCATGCCATCCCATCCTATCTCTCTGAGATCTATTTTAATATTGTCCACCCACCTCCGTCATGGTCTTCCCAGTGGTCTGTTTCCTTCTGGCTTTCCCACCAATATTCTTTATCCATTCCTCCTCTCCCCCCATTCGTGCTACATTCCCTGCCAATCTCATCCTCCTTGACTTGATCACTCTAATTATACTTGGAGAAGAGTACAAGTTATGAAGCAGTCGCGGACAGCGAACAAGGGATGGTCCTCCAGCTTGGGGATTGGGCGTGGGGCTAACAACTCCTTACGAACATTTGCATTTTGAACTGATAACTGTTATTAATTAACAGGAATGGAACAGTCTATGCACCTCGTTCTTAGCCAGCGGGAAAATATTCGTGGAGTTAAAAAGAAAACCACGGTCTCTCATGCACGTAATAAGTGACCTTATTTCTGCCAAGCGACATTTTGTGTTTTGGATCTGAGCTTCTCACTGCGATGATTATGAAGATTACTGTCTTCCGGTATGTGACGCCGTGTAGTCTGGTGAAAGTTTATCGACGTTTAGGAGAAACCCGCTGCCTCCATCTTCAGTGTAGTGCCTTCTACTCGGAGTTAATCCTAATCTTGTTCCGAACAATGTGCTGTGAAGTCCGCATAACATTTCCGTGCGATATAACACAAATCCCGCATTATGCCACGCTGAAACCAACACAGATATCAGTGAAACATCCGTTTGAGAATTCAGCAGAAAGCCTTCTTTCTATATGAACTTCAGCACTACTAACTTACCCTGATTTCCCCCATATTCCTTTCGAGCTCAAAATTTTACCGGACGATACGTCGAGGCCTACTTTGAAAGCCGTCTCCCGCGAAGAGAACGCATATACGGTCAATTCATAAACCGCTTCATTTATGTAGTATACTGCAACTTCTTCACATATCCTCATCAAAATATTAATACTCACAGAACAGACACGATACACTGAGACAGAAGGCTTGTCACTCGTTTGTGACCTACTGTATAATTTACGCACGTGTACATCCGACCTGTTAACCCTCGGAATTTCGTGTTGGAGTAACGTGGAATTGCGTAGTGACAATGATAAATTCTTACGCTTAACAAACAAAAATCTGCTATAAAGAGAACTGATTATGGAAATGGTAAAGTTAAGTTGCCGGTCACAGTAGCCGATCGGTCTGAGGCATGAACTGTCTTCGCTCGCTTGGAAACCGGGATCGTGGGTTCGGATCTGTTTCCTGTGAGGTACGAACTGAATTCTTATATATTATTCTTATACACTGCCGGTCACAGTAGCCGAGCGGTCTGAGGCATGAACTGTCCTTCGCTCGTTCGGAAGCCGGGATCGTGTGTTCGAATCCCCCACAAGGCATGGATGTTTGGTGTGTGTGTTTTCTGTATTTGTGTTGTATTGTGTTTGGGTAGAGGCCTTGCGACGGGCTCATCACTCGTCCAAGGGGTCCTACCGTCTGTAAAATGATCAGGAAACTGCGAAATTAGCCCAATGCTCCGAAGTGGGAGCGACAGGAGAAAAAATAAAACGGGTGAAGGTAAAGTCCTTGTGCTTAATTAAGCACCACGCCATTAAGACATTTGGAGGAGTGGAGGTATGGCTGTATGTACTGTTGAACTCTGTTCATGATGGAGATGAGTCGTCAGTTTCACAC